GTGTGTGTGGCACACAGACTTGCAGTACGCACTGTAGTATATATTTTGTACGTTTCTGCATTTGCTGCTGCTGTTCCTGCCAGACTTTTGCGGCTGCCACATGTCCACAGAGCAATGCTGCAACAAGCCAGTTGCACAAATCAAGTCAACAATAGAGGAATTGCACATGTGTGTGTGCGTATGTGTGTGTGTGAGTAGCTGCCCAAAAGCAGATATGACAGATATGTGCAAATATATAAATGTATGTATATCTGACTATGCATATGCATAATTCTATGTATGCGTGTGCCATTGACTTTGCAACTTTGTGGAGCAATGTGAGTGATGAGAGAGTAGGCGAGACGGGACGAGTCGAGCATTGAAGGTGCAGACAGTTCTGTCAGTCGGCAAACAAAGGAGTTTGTCATCATACATATTTGCACTTCAGCATAAGTTGGGAGACTGTTTGGGCTGTTTGTTGTTGCTGTCGCAGTTGCTGTTGCCACTTGTATTGGCGACGCATAGCAACGCCACCGGAAGTGCAACTCAAACAGCAAAGTCCGGCATGCATTGGCAGCTCTTGGCTGCTGGAGCACCCACAAAGACGAACAAACTTTTTTTCATTTGCTGCTGCTGCTGCTGCTGCCACTCAAAGGCAACTCCATGGCAGGATCTTCGGCTCCTTCTCCAGCTGCAACGGCTGCTGCTGCTGCCACTGCTGCTGCTATCAGTGTTGCTGCGGCAACACTTTGACAGTGTTTGCATTCGGCAATCATATTTTCTTTTGTCTACAAAGTTTTTCGCTTTTATGGCAACAGCAAACCCTTATCGCATTAAGCGTCTCCACAGCCAGCAAAAAAAATATATATGTATATATTCATAATTAGCTGAGAAGCATTCACTTAGTTTTGACAGCAGAAATTGCCAGAAAATCCTCCACAGAAACAGACAAGCAGCTCACACAAATTTAACTTAAGCTAACAAATATATTAAATTATTTTAAAGAGAAGTTAATGCTAAGTCTATTTTTCCCCTGATGTATGATTAAGTATGAATATTCTACCATTAATATGGAAGACCCTAAATGCTTAACACAACTTTCTACTCAATTCAGACTTTTCAAATGCATATACATTTCGTTATCTTATATACTCATTGAGAGCTTCTGAAGAGAGCCAATGCATGTTTATTTTCTCAAATTTTTACGAGCACAACTAATTTACCCACTTGATAGCTTAATCCAGCATAATCCTCTTTTATACAAGCTTAAGTATTTTGAGCACTATCCTCAGCGAAAAACGCAAAAAAAGGCATTAGAGCTTAACGTAAGCTAATTAAATTACTTGCATGTCACGTTTATGTATTTTAAAGCATGGGAATTCAAATGTTAAAGTAGTAAAAGTTAAGAAACAACAAGAGTTTAAGTTAATTAAATTAAAGCTTAAGTGAATTCAAATTCCTATTCTAAAATATTAATTATTTATTATTTAATACTTTCAACTCTCCGAAAAGCATTCAGGTTTGACGAAAGTCATGCAATTAAATTTAAATACCTAATTTGGTATTTTTTAGCACTTCATGTCAAGCAGGCACTGAATAGCCTTTAAAACGTAATTTTGACGATCAATATGGCGTTAAATAACGAAGGCCATTATTTTCAAGTGTTGGTTAAGCCTTAAAGCTGCAGCTGTTTCGTTAGCTTTTGCCGACCAATATTGCATCTCACGCTCATTTATTCGCTTTTATTGCGTTATACACGTATTTATTCATTTATTTTTTGTGTGGTACGTGTGCGCCGGCTGATTGCCGGAATAGATAAAACGGCGCAGACGCTATAATTATGGCTGGCTAGCACTTTTTATTTCATTTTCACTCAATGAAGCGCAATAATTGCTGCGATTAATGCAAATTCTTCTAACGCTTCAAAGGCATAAAATTTGACTGCACAAAAGGCGGCACATGACCGTAGCACACGCCCATGTCTGCACGCCCCCCACATAGTTGGGCGAGACAAACTGTTGTCAACCCTATAGCACGACTCTAGCCTAAGTCATCATGCCCTTCCTTGTTACCCCCTTGGCGTCAGTTAATGCTGGCAATGTGTATGCAAATGAGTTTCCAATGACTTGGTCCGAAAACAAAACAAGCGAGGATGATGTCTCTGCTGCACTTGAACTTGGCTACGTACTCGGTCTCCAACCGGGAGGGGCGCTAACCCAGTCGTTCGTTGGCCATTAGCTGTGTGTGTGTGTGAGTGTGTGTCTCGGTTGCATGTGTCAAGAAGAAAGCGTTGCCTGTATTATAGCAAAGTTTGCACTTTTACTGCCAATCGTTGCAAGTGTGTGTGTGTGTGTGCTGTATGGTTGCGTGTGTGTGGCATGTCCCTTGTGGCTTGTCCAACTTTAAACGCTCAACGCAATAAGATAAGCGCAGCAGAGCACAACACAGCAATTTCTGTTTAATGCATACCCACTATTTCCCTCTCTCTTATCAGACTCTTAAAAAGCACTTCGCGTTGACACTAAAAGCCTCAACAGTCGATACACCTTTCAAGTCGTTATTGGACTTCAGTCACAGTTTAACAAACTTTTTTGCATACATTTTTACATACACATTTTGTATGTAGGCCTTCTATTTCGCACTTATTTAATGTTCACTTTTTTTACGCAAACGCAAAAGTATTTGCCGCGCAAAGTTTTGAATTTCAGCGGCAGTGCTAAAAGCTTCATTTAATATTAAATAGTCTGGCAACATATAAATATACTCTAGCCAATTTACTTGCCGCGCAAATTTCAAAATTCGTCGTTAGTCTGGCAGCACTTAAATACAGCGTTACCACTTAGTACTTGTTGCTTTGTATCGAGTTGGCAGCACGTCTATTTACGTAAATAAGAAGCAAACAAAACGCTTATAAAACAATTTTAAGGTTCTGCCAAAAGCGCCGTTAAAACCAGCTGCAAATGTCCAAGCACACATTAATAGGTATGTGTAAAATATGCAAAGGCGGAGCCTTAGTTAATAAGTGACCTCGCCGACAGGTGGCGGCACTGGATTCATCGGCAGTCATCTCTCCAAGCATCTGGCAAAGAATGGCTATGAAGTAACTGTAATTTCGCGGATGCCAGGTCCGAAGCGCATCACCTGGCACGAGCTGGAAAAACAGGGCATACCAAGTAGCGTTAGCTCAGTGGTAAATGCCACTGGTCAGAATGTGCTGGACCCATCCAGACGCTGGACGCCGGGCTTTCAGCAAAATGTCTGGAATTCGCGTGTCAACTCGTCGAAAACGCTGAGTCAGGCGATTCAAGCAGCCCCGCAGGTGAAATCCTTCGTGAACTTATGTGGCGTTAGCCTCTATCCGCCATCGGAGACCAAGACGTATACGGAGGACGATCAGGGCGTGAATTACGACTACATGTCGAGCCTGTGCCTGGCCTGGGAAGAAGCAGCGCGTTCCGGTGACTCGAAGGATAAGTGTGTAGGTGTACACACACATCTAGAGTTACAATGTATCAATATCGATTTTCCAACACTGACACTTTAGAGCATTGTGCGCACTGGCGTTGTCGTTGGACGCAACGACGGCATGATTAAATCCATTTGGCTGCCCTTCAAACTGGGTCTCGGTGGTCCCATGGGCGCCGGCAATCAGATAATGCCCTGGATACATATGCACGATCTGTGCGGCCTCATCCAGCATCTGATTGAGAAGTGTGAGTCGGGCGTCTTCAATGGCGTCGCACCGGAGATTGTTAGCAACAAGGGCTTCTCACAGGTGAACCATTTCGATTTGATGTGTTGACTCGCCAAATTGACCAATTCTTCCTTCCCTGCTTTAGGCATTTGCCAGCGCTCTGAATCGCCCTTGCCTGTTCGCTGTGCCCGAGTTCGTGGTGCACGCCATCTTTGGCAAGGAGCGTGCGGCGCTGCTCCTGAGTGGCACCAAGATTCAGCCCAAGCGCACGCTCGCCTCTGGCTATCAATTCAAGTATCCGGATGTGAAGTCCGCCGTAGCCGAAGTCGTTGGCAAATAGAGAGCCGAAACAGTTGCGAATTTGTTATGAATGCTTGAGATTGGCGTTGTTAAACTATTTATTATTTAAAGCGATCTTCATTTGTATTATATCAATTAAACTAGAGCATATACGAGGTATACACATTGTCTATATATATGTACATAGAGGCATATTTGCTAATCATGTCTAGATACTAGATGTGAATTGTGAAATTGGAGTCTATAATTCGCATAATTATGGAAATTAATTTGTTTACGAATTACTCATGGGCAATGATTATTATTAAATATTTAATGTACCCATTGAAAATTGAAGTTGAGTCTAGGGTATATTAGTTCTGTAAGAGAAGAAGGCATTTCATGTATGGTAGGAAAGATCAGTAGAAGAATTTGATAAATAAGTCAATGCATCACTCAAGTCAGATACTTCCAATAAGAGCACATTTATTTGCATAGATTTCTTATCTAAATGCTAGAGAGTTCGAAGGGAATTAGGAGCTAATGACCAAAAGAGTTGTCAGAATTTTTATACTTACATATATATGTAGTTTGGTTTACGTAAATGTTTAAGATAAATCGTTGAGTTGACAGCTGATGACTCCACACTTTTATTCCCTGTTTATAGAGGTGTAGAGATGCCTGCTGTTAGCTCAATGATAATCTTGAACGTGTCCATAAACAAGAACAACAAAATTATATAGATTCGGGAATCGATCTTTTGTTATAGTGATTATTTAAGTACACAAAACGCTAAACCGCCCACACTGAAATCCAAAAAATCTAACTAGAGTTAATACGAAAACAAGAAAAAAGTACCGAAATCAACCGATGTCGATTGAATTAATTAGGCAATCGAAATAATTGCATAGCAAAAAAGTTAATGCCGAATAAAAGGAAAACAAAAATCATTCAGTTGCGCTTCACAATCGGCATGGAACGCCTATAAAACCCTCATGTCATGTCAGGTCTAGCTCATTCGTAGCTGGACCATTGGAAGTGCTAAATAATGTTATCTAAATCTCAGCAATTAGTGCTCATCGTTGGGCTCACCTGTTGGGTAACTGAAACACGAACCTCGAAAAGTTGAATGAATAATTTTTAATGAATCAAATGTGAAACAGAGCGTGGCCCAAGCGGATGTCGACTGCAGCAAGAAGCCGAAGTTCGTGAATCCCAATACCTGTTGTCCTCTGCCGGAAATCGCCACACCCGAGCTAAATGAGAAGTGCAAGGAATACTTGCAGACTCCAGCGATGCAAATGGAGTCGAGCGCCGAGGGAAAACGTGGACATCGTCACCATTCGTTCCTTCCTCCAGTAAGCGAAGAGTTCTGCAGACATTTCCAATTTATGCCTAACTATACAGCTCTCCCTCTCTACCTCTCTCTCTCTTAGTGCTACATCTCTTGCATGTTCAATGAGACGGGCATCTATAAGGACAACGAGGTGGACATCGACGCGCTCAATGATTACTTGAAGAACATCTACAAGGACAACGCTGAGCTGGAGAGCATTGCCACTGAAGCTGCCGGTAAATGCAATGCCAAAATGGACGAGTTCAAGGATAAGAAGAGCAATCGACCACGCCCATCACCACCACCTGGCGCCATGAAGTGCCCCCACAAGCCCGTCTTCCTGGTTGGCTGCATTATGCGCAAGATCCTGTTCAATTGTCCCGCCTCCGTTTGGACTGATACCCAGGAATGCAACGACGCTCGTGACTACTTCAAGTCCTGCAAGCATCACAAGGGCGATCGATTTGGTGGGGATAACTAACTGGAGAGACACTAAGCGGCACACACAGGAAAGGAAAACCCAATAGTTAGTAACAGCACTTACCCGATGAGCAGAAGAAATTATGCAAATAATATACAAAATATCCAAATATAATTGATGTAAAAAGAGTCCTATATAACCTCGCTGCGACCCGAATAAAATGTGAAGAAATTCATAGAGGCAGCAATTGTTATCGAAACTAGAATATATACCCTGTAAAAATAAGTTAGTGAAACAGGCAGAAGAATAGTTGAAGCAATGTAGTTGCATTGCTCATAAGATCTACTTTACCTCATGTAGTGTCTAATAAGGCTCAACCATAGAGTCACGGACTTCGACTTTTTGCTGCAGTGGAATTCCACATTGGGCACGCTCGGTTTCACAATTACAATGAATATTTAATTTATTATTACTAAACTGATGTTCCATTTAGAGATTTCACTATAACAAACACACTCCAATAATTGCAGAGATTTCAATCAAAATCTGTTTGCGCCTCCGCTGGCGCTCCGCTGGGTATATATAGGTAAATCTATTTTTGGGATTTCGGCTATGCTCTACATTGTTTTAGTTTCTATATTTCAGAGAATTTCAATTTACATTTACTATAATGTTTGCTTCAACTTTAGATTTGGCTTTAAAACTCTAGAAAAAAAGCTAAAACATTTTATCTCTAAAAAGCCTTTCGCTTTCTTTCTCACTTTGTTTCTCTGTAATTCCATTTGAAGCAAATGCATTTGGATCTGCCTGTAATTGGGTTTAGTCCTTGCCCATTATCCTTTGCGGTGCTTATCAGCGCTTTGCACGCCTGAGCGCGCAATGAAATAGAAAATTCGATTTTCCGCTACTTATCAAACACTCAACCAGGCAGTCAGCCCGTTTGCGCTTCCTCTGGTCTCATTCGGCCTCTGTTGCTGAAGCGAACAGGACGTGTCGATGGCGAGCATTGAGAGCGAGTTGACGCAGTTTGTGGCGCAGTGCCGGAAGCAGGAATTCAGCGAGTCGGAAATGCGCAGCATATGCCAGCCAATCCTCTGGCATTGGCGACTGCTGAAACTGAAAAAGTGGGTGCAGTGGCTCCTGTTGCCCGCAGTGCTAGTCTATCTGCTGTGGAGCTGCTGCGACAGCTGCGCCTGGACATTGAGCGCCCTGGGCCGCTTGCTGCTGATCGAGCTGCTGCCCTATTGGGACTGGACGCCCTACTACAATGCCAAGTGCCTGATCGAACGGGAGACGGAGCGGAACAGTGACTGGCAGCCGAAGGCACTCGGCAGACACGAAACTCTCTGGGAGAACTGTGCACTGTGCGAGCAGCTGGGTATGAGCGCTCTATGTGGGCACAGCTATTTATAGCTGACATCTTAAATCCATTTCAGAGAGCATACCCGTCGTCTCTAATGCCAGCTACTCCCTGCTGGAAGCGGAGTACCTGGAGCGCGGTCTGCCAGTTATCGTGGGCGACTGCCAGCTCGAGCTGAGCTTGGACAAGCTGCTGCAGCGATTGCTGGACAGGGCACCCGACCTGCTCGCCAGCGAGCCCTGCGACGTGTCCAGCAATCTGATGCTGCGACAACTCTTCAATTTGGATGCAGCGCTGCAGAAGATCCCCACCAGCCCCGCCTGGCATCTGCACTTCCGCAACTGTGAGTCGAGAGCGGTGAAGGCTTCGCGTCTCTATGCGGACAAGCCCTACTACTACCCCGTGCATCTGGAGCCCTACTACTCCAGCTGGCTGCTGCTGGCGCATCGGCAGCAGCGCCCCCAAACGGAGATCTATGTGCGTGGCCTGATCTTCATACAGCAGCTGAATGGCCACTTCGACTGGCAGCTGCGCCCCAAGCAGCCCTGCCAGGAGTACAATTGCCCCAATCTGAGTCTGCGCTTGGCTGCGGGCGAGTGCCTGGTCTACTCCACGGATCTGTGGCGTCTCAGCTACGGAGTGCAGCAGCAGCCGAATGGGAGTGACACCTCCATTGCCACGCTGTTCGAGGTGAATTGGCAGCTGTAGGAGAATATATGGAACGTAAAAAATCATAGAGGAATATCAATAAATAATCAGAGTTTGCTTCTCTAGTGAGTTATTAGAAGTCAAATAAGATGTGGTTCCATAATGTAAAGATGTAAGAAGTCCATAAATATAAATCACTCCTAGATAGCCAAAAGTTTCCCCTTTCATCCCATTCATTTCTAAAAATATACAAAATAATCCCACATTGTTATTTGCAGAAAATAAATATACCATCCCATTCCAATAAATGAGAAAACAAATCTGTCGAATTGTCCAAATTGTATTTACACAGAGATAAGGATTACACATCAACATCAAGTAGACAGGATATGCATTGGAACTTAGTTTAATACTGCTTTGTAGTGCTTCAGCCTTAGTGACTCGACTCGACTCCACTCGACTCTCCCTCTAGGCCCGGCGGCACTTGGCCTCGACGAGCTTCTGCAGCGTGGCCGTCAGACTGTTGATGGCATCGATTTTCATGCGCTCGATGCGCTCCTGCTGGACCAGGGACATCTTCTGGATTTGCAGCTGTTCGCGCTGCAAGCTACGCTGCAGCTCCATCTTCTCACGCTCCACGTCCAGCTTGCGCTCGAAGTAGTCCTTCCACCAGATGTCGTCCTGCTGAGCGGGCGGCGGCGGCAACTGTTCGTAGAGCTTGCCCGTTGGAGCCATTGCCATCTCCTGGCTATCCGTCTGGTCCGGAATGCTGGTGCTGCCCGTTTGATCGGCATCGTACTCGAGCTTGGGCTGACGCACCTCCGACAAGCTGTTGCTGTCCTCGTCGAACTCGTCATTCGATTTGCTATCGAGCTGCAGCTGCACCTGCGGCTGCAACAGCACCTGATCCACCGGCGTTATATACGGCTGTCCATCCTGAGGCGTTGCTGGCTTCGACTGCTGTTGTTGTTGTTGCTGCTGCTGTTGCTGTTGTTGTTGCTGTTGCTGCTGTTGTGCCTGCACTTGTTGCTGCTGCTGCTGCTGTTGCTGCTGCGGCGTCATTTGGACTGGCTGCAGCTGCACGTCGAAGTCGGCCTTCTTGCCCTGCAAGTACTTGAACATCTCCTCGAAGAACTCCCAGTGCACGTAGCCCGAGACGTACTTCTTGTTCAGATTCTTGTTGTAGGTGATGAGGATGTTGTGCCACTTCTTTTGCACCTTGGCCGCGCTGTAGCGGAAGCCCAGTCGCTGCAGCTGCCGGGTGCAGTGCAGCCACAGCGCTGTCCGCTTCTGCCTGCCCTCCGTGAAGCTGCCCTCCATGGGTCCGCGGATGTGTATCAGGGCACGCGTGGCTTCCGTTGTCCAGGCGCGCTCGTATGGACCGCGTCCTATGCTATTCGTGCTGCCCGACAGCTCCGTCTCCTCCAGCAGGCAATCGTCGTCCAGGTCGTCCAGCTCATCATCGCTAATGGGATAGGCTAAGGAAAAAGGAAAACAAACAATGCTTTAGCACCTGTTGCTGATGATGACGGCTGCCATGAGCTGCGCAGTCTCTCTCGCTCTCAGCTTGCGTCGCTCGCTCTCTCTCTCTCTCTCAGCTTGCCACCCACCACCCATCACCCATCAGCAGCAGCAGCCACAGCCGCAGCCGCAGCCACCCACATCCTAGTCAAACGCCCGAAGCTGCAAGGATGCTAGCGCTGCTGCTGCTGACGTACAAGCATAGCCAAAGCTGAAGGATACACATTTTCACAGTCCTCACTCAAAATCAAAATCACAACTAGCACACACACATGTACAGATTTATATTTATTTAGTGTTTTAGTACTTACGTTCAGTCTCCTCAGCGCTGCCATTATTGTTCGCTGCACCATTTGATACGATTTGCGCCATTGGTCGATGATATTCCTAATTAGTATTAATATTATTATTTTAGATAGCGGCTAGTCTATATATTTTATAGTACTACTGCTGCTTTAATTAAAATTGATTTTGTGACAGCCTACTCGACTCTCGTCTCGTCTCGACTCAGCTCTACTCAGCTACTCAGCCTAGACCTGGCTGCTCTCAATAGTTTTCTGTTACTAACCGAAGGACATTTTGTGGGCTGCAGGCGGCTGTCAGGCGCTTAAGCTTCCACTCTCTCTCTCTGTCGCACGCTTGAACTCGCTCTCTGTCTCGCTCTCGCATAAAGCTCTTTGGCTGCTGCCGCTCTCTGAACTCAGATCTGTGCGGGCTGCTGTGCGGCTAGGTCATAGTATATGAAGTATCTAGAACGAGTGCTGATTGACTGTAGGTATGTATGCAGAAATATAGATATGTTTATATCACATTTAGCAGCTGCGCACTATTTCATTAATCTAATAATATAATAACTTAAACGCACCTCAATCAGTGTCTAGACTAAAACTTAATATTATTAAAATTATAATATACATTAATTTAGACATTTCAAAATTAATAATTTAAAATTAAAATAGATTTATTTTTTATTTTCAAATATATTTCAGGGCTTACATCAAGAAAAATATAAAAATATGTACAATACATATGTATATAAAGTTATATTCAAAACTTGATGCACAAAAACATATATTTTGTCTTTTTAAACTCTAATTTAAAACATTTTAATTTATATTGCGATAAAAAAAATGGGGAAAATTCAATTAAATAGTCCTTTATTAAAAAATTTAAATTTTGAACAAATGTCCCTAAAATTTGACAATTCAAGGAAATTTTCTTGAGTCAGTTGGATCGGGTGGCTCATCGGTGTTAGGTTCTTCAAAGTCTGGTATAATTCTATTGGATAAATATACGAATATATATATATAGGTTTATAGGCATATATATCTGAAAAGCTGCTTACTTTGGATATTTAGCCAGCAGATATTTTACAATAAAAGCAACACATTTTTGTACGCATCTAAACATAGCTAAGATTCAAAATTCAAATCTCTGGCAGCACCGCAAGGGGAACAGCAGAGTTTCATGTCATTTAGCGCTGCCAGCTGCGACCGAATGCTGGGTGTTACGCGTTGCCAGCCGCTTCAACGTTTGCCGGTTGATTAATTTCGCCAAGTTGGCATCGCTCGACGCAACAAAATTGCGCGTGCTAAAATATTTGTTGTCGAATTGTTACATTTGCCTGTGAATAGAGTTAATCAAAAATTAAATATAAAAACTGATCAAAAATGCCTGCCATCGAAAAGTATGTTATGTAAGTTCTTGACTAGCAAAGCAAAGTAGACGAGCTTTATTAAATTATGATAAATTTCAGATACGATTGGAAGCGCCTCTGGCAAATGGTGTCCGGCATCCACTATGAAACACCTAAAAGCACAGTTCGCGATGAGCTATTAAATGTCTGCTCAGAGCTGCAGGCGGGCGTCCTGCAGTTCAAGCCCAAAAGCGCCTCCAATGTACAGCTCTGCACGCTGCTCAAAGAAAAGAAACAGGAGAAGCTGTTGCCCTTCACAGAACGTCTGCAGGAGCTACTCAACCTGGAGTCTGCCCAATGCTGGGAGATACTATGCTACTATCTGACCAAAGAATATCGCGGCTCTGCCAGTCTGCTCACACAGCTCATCTCCACAGAGACGAACATGACCAAGCTGTTGGACGACATTCGTCACTATTATTCCCTGGAGCGCATGATTGTGCTGAAGATTGTGAAGAACCTGCTTGTCTTTTACCGCGTACCCAATCATCCATACCATGCAGAGTATAAGGAAGTTGTGGATAAGATCACACTGGAACGCTTGCTCGAGTCCTACCTCAACCAGCTGGATAGCTTGATCAATGAGCTGCCGCCACGCAAGCTGCTGGCAGGCGAGACCTTCCATTGCACGGATAGACTGATCAACTGGTCGGAGCGCAACGCACGCGAGACCAACGAAGTGCTGCACATTCTGCTGCTGATCAGCGAGCACAAAAGTTTTAGTTTTAGCCAAATCAAGCGACTATTTTCGACCATTAAGCAGCATTCCTTCGGTCGCCTACAGAGCTACCTCAACGAGTCAAATCCCTATCACAAAGAACTGGTCAAAACTCTAACCTACTCGGAGCTGATGCTGCTGCTCAAGTGCCTGGACACTAGGAACGAAGATGTAATCGAACAACTTATTGAGAAGCTCCATGTAGAGATTTCTAGCATGCATCATCGGCCAGAGCACGGCCCATTGCTGCTCGCCTGGATGCTGTTGCGCCTGCGCGGCACAAACGATGCCGATGATGCTTCCAGTCTGTTGCGCTGCCGCCAGCTGGGCAAGAGAGCTGTCGAGCTCAAGTGCTTCGAGCTGCTGCACAGCATTGTGAGTCACGCAATGTTCTCCGATGACAGCCTGCTCTCCCGCATCGTGAGGAGAACCATCTACAACCAACTGTGCTTCATGTGCGACCTGTTCGATGGCGACGGCAGTTGCGCCCGCTATGATGGCATCTTTGCGCTGCTGTGTGAGCTGCTCTCCTTTCCCCAGCTGGCCAAGGATTTCTGCAAAAGTAAAGATTTGTTTGGGGTGTGCCCTTAAATTATGACTAAAAGATTTCTTCTCTTTTCCTAGTGGATGGCGTCCGCTCCTTGTTTAATACCCTGCTCGAGAACTTTCCTCTGCAGTTCATAGACTTGGCAAACGTGGCCTATGCTTTAACTAAGGGCGGTCAAGGCTACTATGTAAGCTAGTAGATGATCCTACCTATTTGCGTTAACTCTACATGAATACCCTCTTCACACACAGATCAAAGCTCAGTTGGAGTCGCTGCCCATGGTGGCGCTGCTGTATGACGAGCAGGCGCACAAGCTCAGGGAGCTGGAACCGAATGAGTATGAGCTCACTAGCCCTGTGCAGGCCTTTCCCAGCATCGACTTCACAGTGCCCATTGGCACCACCTGCACCGCTGTGCAGCATGCCAACGGCTTCTACATGCACTTTCGCTGCCAGGTGAACTTCTTCAATGCGCTGCATCACGAGATTAATTGCCTGCTGCGCGAGAAGGCGCAGCTGCACGGTGACTTCGAATCGAATGAGCGTGTTCTACGTGTCGAGGCGGGTCTCAGGTTTCTGGAGATTACGCTGCAGCGCATCAAATCCATAGCAGCCATCAGCTCTGAGATGGTGCATCCCACAGAGATGTGCATCGATTTGCTGAGCAAATTCAGGAGCGTGCAGTGCCCGCCTGCGCGCCTCTTATCCATTTGCCTAAATGTGTGCACTGCGCTGCTGCCGCTCGTGGATGAGGAGATCTTCATGCGTGTCAGCCATTTGGACATACTGCCCAAAACGGGCAGTCAATCGCTGCAGGACTACAAGCTCTGTGCGAGCGCAGTTTACTTCGAGTCGCGCTTCCTGGGCGCTGTCATCGACAATGTGGAGAAGAAGGAGGAGCGCTACGATTTCCTCTTGGCCTATCTGCACTTCCTGCGCACCTATACGAGGCTCAAGCGCCAGCGCTATCTGCAAGTGGAAATACCAGGGTTGGTCTTTCTGCTGCGCGACGTGTTTCCCCACTTGCACACCTGGCACTTCAGGTCGCAGCTGGAGAAGAACAGGATATACTTTGAAGTGCTCAGCTTCATATGCGATCTCTTTGATATCATGGGCAGCAGCAACGAAGTAAAGTGCGAGCAGCGACAGCTGCTGCTCAATGTGTGCGTCTACTCGCTGCTTAATCTGGACAATGGACTAATACTTTTGAAGTATACCATCTCATAGACATCAATGTATTATGAACTTTCTAATAACCCTTGTCTAACCCTCTCTAGATTTGTGGGCGTTGGCAACGCCTTTGTCCAATACACCATGGAACTGGAGTCGAACTGGATGCAGCAGCAACCGCATGGACTCATGATGCTCGTGCGTCTCTCTATGCGCATATTGATGCAGGTGCTCTGCCTGAAAAGTCATGTCTATGGCACGGGCACGTTGTCACCCTTGGAGGCGCTCATCTATACACAGCCCAAGCAACGGGATACGTTGCGCATCATACCCACTGTGTGCAGCTATATGAGCAACATATTTGATCGCTGGCTGCCCATCGTGTCCTGTCGACTGTTGAAGCGCATTGCGCTGGAGTTTAATATGTCGCTGTTGGCCTGCCTGGACATGGAGGCAGATCAGATCCGACTCACGTTCATGCAGAAGATGCCCGACCAGCTGGAGAGCGATTCGATTAAGATAGCCATACTGGAGCTCGTGGATGCCTGTATAGCCAAGCAGCCAGGTGTCACAGAGGCCTTCTTCAAGGTCAACTATGCGAATGATAAACGTTCGTTCTTTGGCAAGGAGTGCACGCCCAGCATTGGAGACAGCATTGTCACCTACATGAAGGAGTTTCTCGATGCTTTAGAAGAGGTGCCGCTGACCATACAGCAGACGCTGCCCTGCAAGGTCATGAACATCTTCCATTCGCTGTGGAAACACAATCTTAAGATGCTCGTGGATGAGCTGCTCAAGCAGCCGCATTTCTGGAAGAAGCTCTGCAGTCCGCTCTTGACCAAGCCAACCAGCCAGCCCCAAATGAGGGTCTACACGCAGCTGATAAACATTGTCTCCATCGAGATCTACAGCACGGGCAGCCAAAAACAGTCCGACCTACGCGAAGTGATGCAGAAGTTCTTCGAGCTCGACTGTTTCCAGCATTGGCTCGACTATATCTTCAATTTGCCCAAGGTTCCGGCTAAGCAGAGCTGCAACGAGGAGCTGCCCGACTGGATATGCTGTTTGCAATCGTTTAAGGACTTGATTGTCATATTGCTGAAGAAGCAGCCCACGTTCATCACCATACCCGATGCCCAGTTCAAGTTGCTGGCCAAGAAGTGCCTGACAACGCTCGTGGACCGTGCCAACTACTTGGAGGACATGCGTCCCTTCATCATGCTGGCCGAGCTGTACATATTCATACTGCTGCAGTTCAAGCAGGCCTTCACCAGCAACTGCGAGGAGGAGAAG